CGTGGATTACAGCACCTTCAAGCAGGTGCAGGGGGTGGGGGTTCAGTTCTGGGGCCAGCCTTGCTGGTCCTGTTCCCCCAGGGCATGCTAAGACAGCAATTGAGACTGGATGTGGTGGTGCTTGCCTATAATCCCAGCTCTTGGGAGGCTGTAAACAAGCGGATCACTATGAGTCTGATCTAGTAGTGAGACCCTGAACACTCTGTAGACCCTTCCCTAAAATACAAAAAAGAAAAAAAGTTCAGAAAATAAATCTGTTTGTAACAAAGTTGGATAGACATGTCAAATCATAAAATAAAAAATATTAAGTATAATCAGAAAACACACATGATTTTATATTATAAAAACAGATGAATTATTATATTAAATCAAAGATGTTTGAATTGGATTAAATGGAATGAATCTCCCAAATAAGTTTTTATTTGAAAATTTTTTGGTGCTGGGAGATAGCTCAGCCATCTAAGAACCTGCTTGGCAAGCGCAAGGACCCAGGTTTGATCCCCAGAAACGCATGCCACTAGCTAACCTCTGAAACCAGGTGCACCATGCTGGCCACAAAACCAGGCATGGTCATGCATGTCTGTAATCCCAGAACTGGTGAAGCTGAGGCAGGAGGATCACTGTGAGTTTAAGCTGAGTAGTGAGACTCTCTGCCAAATAACTAACTAAATAAAAACATATATACATAAAAATGAAATATTTTTAAAACAAAATGATTTGGTAAGATTGTAAAAATAGGCAAATAAAGCAGGCAAGGTGAGAAATAGAGGAAGAGAAAATTTAGGAAAGATAACAGAAATTAAAACAATGATTGATGATATATAATAAAATTATTTAAATAAAGATTATATAATATACCTGAGTTCACTAAGGCAAAATGAAAATTTATGAGAAACATAACATACATTTCTGAAATAAAATTACATGGAAATTTATCCCTGTCAGAAATAGTCAAAATTGGGGCTGGAGAGATGGCTCAGTGGTCTAAGGCACCTACTTAGAACAAGCTTGGCAAAGCATCAGGGACCG